ACGTACAACCAAAAAAAGATTCTGTATTTCCATAAGTGGTGTAACACTATGGAATAATTTAAATGTGGACATAAAAAATAGTACTAGAATTGATGAGTTTAAACATAAGTATAAAGGTATGTGTCAATCAAGATACATGCAAGAACAGGTTTAATGATTAATCAGATGGAACATTGTGGGTTTAGTATATTACTTGTGTGGCGTAGAAGATAATTATCTATGAATGTAATTATGTAGAATGTTAACACTCTGTAATAATTCTGTAGTATATTACTTGTGTGGTGTAGAGGATAATTATTTATGTAGAGATATTGCTTAGGACTTAAAAGTTGTAAGATGATGTCATGGGGGTTAACTAGATAAGTCTAACTTCTTCCTACTCCGTTCAAGCATGTACTAGGTATAAGTAAATTGATATTGGATTATTATTGTTGGATATGTGTGAAATTACATGTGTTGACATATCAACTGTTTTGCATGCTCGAATGAATAAATCAAATCAAATCAAGCCTACCTCACACCCATGGCCCGTACCACTTCCCATACAACTTGCTATCCAGTCCACAGTGCATTGCACCTCCTGCAGTAACTCAGCTCTCCCCCATATTATTAACATTCGCTGCAGTCTCTGCAATTTTCACCCTAAACAAAACATCCATAGAAAGGACTGGTGGAGGAGGACAGGGAATGAGAAAGTGAAAGAATGAGAGATCGAATAACAGAGAGGAGAAGGAAAGGTGATATCGCCAATTAGCTAAACTGAGTTTGCCTTTGCGGATGACGCATAGCATCTGTGAGAGAAGGTAGTGTCTGCACATGTCACCACAGGCTAGTCAGTTAGTTGAATAAAACATTTGCTGACACTTCCCTACTACTTTTTATAGGGGCCACCACAGGCCAGTCAATTAATCATCTGATTTTTTTAAATTGACATTTAGTTTTGATGGGGAATCAAAACTTAGTGATCAAATTCAGCACAAATTAACTCTGATTGCAAAAAAACATCACTCTCTCTAGCAAATGTCTTCATCATTTTCCTCATAGGACAAAGTTACTCCTTGATGATTTCATCATTTCAAAGAGACTTTCACAGAACACATAATTTAAATACATTATTCACTGTAGGTGCCAGTAGCATAGTGTTGTTGTTCAACATCTTTGCTCAGATTTCTCACACTCCAGCTAATCCATGAGACAGCAGAAGCTACTGATGGTGGTGGGCACAGGCTCAGAGTAGGACCCATGTAATGGGTGTTTCTGGGATTGTGAGAGTGCAGATGACAGAAGAAGGAATAAGTGGTTCTGACACTCAGCTGAGATTAGTGGGTGATGATGATGACGCCTCTGGCACTAATCTGCCACACATACATGTTCTCCAGTGCCTTGTCTCTCTGTCTTCATCTGTGATAGTCTCCTGTGTTCGCTTTTCATCTTTCATGTAGTCTTCTCTGTGTGTGAGTGGGAAATGACCTACTCACAGTACTTTGTCACTATTTGTTATCCCCTCCTCATTATGTAGCGTTACTCTTCTAATAAATGCTGAAAGCTGAGTGAAAAACGAAGAAATGACAGTGACTTTTCCTCTGGTCCATCTCATTATCCTCTTGGCTTTGAGTTGTTTGGTTCTAGCACCAACTATCACACCAGCATTCATTTATGTAACAAGGATGAAGGGTTGCACAGGTACAGGGGCGTGAACTCAGCCTGGCACTGATTAATCCTGAAATTGGTCTTAAATTCTCAGTTTGACATTTTAATATTCTCACTGTGAATCAAATATAGTGCCTTAAAATTATGGCACTGGTAGCTCTGTATGGGAAAGGTACTGTACTTCTGGCCATAACCTAGAATTAAACACAACAGTATTAATCACAGCAGTTTTATTATTTAGTAAGCAATGTGTGGGGTTCTTTATGTTTAACAGTTCAGACTCCTGCTTTAATTAAACCATAAGGAGACTAAACAAGTGTGTCCATAATTTCAGTTGTTGGAATCTTTTGACTTTATGATCCTGAAATGTGCTGCTGTGTCAAACACAGAAGACATTTAAACATGTCACACACAGCAGGAAAAGTGGTTTTAGTTAGTTATATAAACTATGGCAGAATTCCAATCAGATGTGCAGTTCATGCTATCATTGACTGTCATGGTTTAACTGAGACATTTTAATGGAGCTGGATTAATGTTATTACTTAGACTTATGGTTTTACTGCAGTGACAAATTAAAATGTCTGCTGTGGAAACAAAAGGTCTATTAAGACTGCTTTGTCTTACTGAACCATGTCCTAATAAAGCTTTCCCTTTTGCTGGGCATAAAGCTAATAAAGGGTCAGTGATTGAACTGGCAAAAAAAAACAGAGGTTCAGATTACTCATCTTAAATCCAAGTGGAAAACAGCTGTTTATTTTCCAAATAATCACATAGAGTAGTAGATAAAGCACAGACTTCTCTTGTCCATAAATGAGCAGTCACTCAACCATTTCTTATTATACCAAGGGATCACAAACAGGATACTACATGGTATTTGATGGTGGTACATAGAATAGTATCAGAAGTGATAAAGGTGGTGTTTGTTTTGAGAATAATGTAGTATTTTATTGTTTTGAAAACAAAACTTGAAGACAGAGCCATGACTTTTGTTAGGTCAACCAGACTGAAAATGAAAACCCATATGTGACACATATGAGCTCTGTCAAAAAATCTGGCACAACGGATACAGCTGGCAGGCCTGGAGCCACATGTGGTCCACTGTCACTTTGCCATGTTTATGAATATGCTGACTTTAAGATCTGATTCATCCTATTTTCCTTTTACCTGATGTCATTGCTTAAGTAGAAAACAAAACGACAACAACAAAAAATAAACTCTGGAATCTATTCTTTTTTTACAGCGTTCTTCTGAACTGGCATCTTCATACTGAGCAAGCTGCGACAATTCACTTTTGGTGCAAAGCTGATCTTATAGCTTGGTAGTGTTGACTAACTGGCAAAAAAGAGATAGACACGGTTATTATCATTCTTCTCTACAACTCCAAGACAATGTTTCCACATTCTAAGATGTCAAGGGACATGATTTCTCAATTACTAGCACGCCTGAATTATATTGGAATAAGTCTCCTTGGTCTGCTGGTATTAGTAATTTTCACGAGTGGAGGATGATATTCCAGACTTATGTGGGCTATGCCTAGGGGTATGCCAAATCAGGAATCTTTATTGATGAGTTTACACTATCAATGGTGACACATGCATCTTTCAAACACTACAACAAATATGATCAGTGGTCATGATTCCTATTGACTGTTTTCTTTAAATTATCTCAGCTTCTCTCTTCTCACTTCAGGTTTAAAGGGCTCCCTCCAGAGGATGCAACTTGAATATGTGGATGTGGTTTTTGCCAACCGGCCAGACAGCAACACTCCCATGGAGGGTGAGTGATTGCTGACTAGACCTTGGAGGGACTGGGAGAGGGACTGGGGAAGGGTCAGGGCAGGAACATGCATGTTGTTCTGAAACATGAGAAGGTGACAAACACTGACCTACCCCCGTCTGACTGGTGACGTTTGCCTTTGACCAAAGGGGTTTATCTTTGTGGTCAAGTGTGTGTGTGCGTGTCTAACTGACTCACTCACACACACACACACACACATTTCAGGCACAGTCTTGCTTCATCCCTCGCCCTCTATTTTAGTCCACCAGTCTCCCTCTCTTTCTGTCTCTATGGGATTGTCAGTTTCCACAGGGTCTCTGAGCCAACTATCCCTGTTCTTCAGATGCAGGATTATCTGACCCCCCAAGGGGAAGCTGGTGTATTTTGGGGCTGGTCTCACTAGGCACAAGCCCTACTCTGCGTTTTAGTGCTTTCCCACACATCTACATTATGTCGCCATGTGTTTCTTTCACACACTTCCTAAAAATTACTCCCTTGTGATATTACTGTCACAGATATGTGGGCCTCTCTTCCTTCTTCCACACAATCCACAGGTAGTATTAGACTGAAAAGATGGAGTCCTCGTGTTCTCTCAAAATTATTTTCACATCTTTCGCCTTTGCCCCCCTCATGCTTCCTCCTCTGTGAGCCAGCAGAGTGTGGGAGGCCAATCTGTCATACTTATCATTCCAGGGGCCTTGGTGACTGGCAGGCAGATCATGCAGTCCAAAACTTCTAGTAGGAAATCTGCAGATAAAGCCACTTCAGTATTGACAGTTGATGTCTGAAGCTGAATGTGATTGATAGATTAATTGATTGAGGGTCTGATAGGATGAGAGAAACTGAGCAGAGAGAAAAATGTCAGGTGTGAAGATAAACAGGCTGAGTGTTGTGCTTTCAGCAGCTGTGCAACAGTTTCTCCCTCAGTCAATGTAAAAACATTTTACATTTTTGCTTCACCCTTTACTACAATTGAGCAAGGCTACTGTAATAAATCACTGTGTAGAGGGTCAGTCATTTATAACAACTGGAGAGAGTGGGATTACATGTACAGACTCACATATCACATATCCTCGTATCCACACACATCAGCATTGTAATGTTTCCTAAATAGCTTCTCTTTGGAATGAAGGAGCGGTGCTAACATACAAAGTGAGACTTTTGCATCTCTGTGGATATTTGCAGGAGGTGGTGCTCGTTATGCAGATGTCTAAGGTATTGATTTACACACCCACATGGTGCTGAAATTTAAGCAAGATTAGCAAAGCCAGTACAAAAGCATTCAAGCTCCAAATGAGAATGTTAAGCAAACTAACAGGTGGGTGTGTGTATGTGCACATATTTGTGTAGAATTGTTTGTTCTCATGACTTTACTTTTAATTTTGTGTGAGACTAGTCGTGAACCCTTGATAACAAAAAAAAAATTGTCATGCAGTGTGCAGTCTGTTTTTGTTGTCACTTTTCCCTTGTCCCATCCACCTTATGTGGCATATACTATAGAGACTGGATATAAGCAGACACTTCATCTAACAGTTTCCAAAACTGTGCAGTACTCATATTATAGAAAAGATGATGATAAGGGACCTCAACGACAGACATCTGTGCCTTAGTCAATTTATTGGTTTAATAGGTATTCCATAGCCTGCAGTGCAAACTGTCCAAGTTTCAGCACAATGCTCAGTCACTGAATATCATTTTTATAACAGACTAATATAAAGAAAATTGAATCTAATCAATCAGCTGAATATGAACCCCCACCCACCCATACACACCATCACCACCCCAATTCCTTTGTATCCCATGTGTAAATAACAAATAAGATACAAAAGCAAAGGAAAAGAGCAGACATGGCATCAATAAATAGAAAGATAAACAGAAAAATATAGAGATAAATAGAGCAGGATGCAGGGGGAGCTCACCCACTCAGTGCCTCAGTACTTGTTTTTCTTTTGGCCACACATTCTTTCCCAAGATTGTCAGACTCAGAAAGGGCTTCATGGGCCACTGAAATGCCTTCGGGTGTGACATACTGTATCGCTCACCATCCTGTGTATGGATGAACAACACTCACAGAGACTCCTAGACCTCCATATCACCTGCCAGGGCAAATGTGGATATGCCTGTGCGTTGTATGTTTTCATCTAAAGACTTGAAATTTGGAAAACAGCTGTTCTGCCCAAAGGAAACAAAGCTTGGTATTTCCCTTGCTGGTTTTATCTGCACAAAAACTGAAAAGTGTAAAAATGAAATTATTATTATTATTTTTTTTTTTTGCATTTATGTACTAGACTATTTGTTGGCCAAGTGCAAGGAGCTATAACAAGATATAATGTGCACATTAGTGAGATTTCAAATTTTATTACCTTTGGACAGAGCCCGTCAGTTCCCACTGTTTCCAGCCTTTGTGCTAATAAGCTGACTGGCTAATGGCTGTAGCAACATGAATGTTGTAGCAATGTTCTCATTTAAATTGAATATCCATCTTATTATAACAGTACATGTTTTTCATACCGGCACACACCATGTGCATGTGCCCCTGACTTCACCCACATAATAACCCTACTTGAAAAACTGCAGTGAATTTTTTGAGTGAGGTGTTGATGGTGTCCACTGGAGAGCTCACCTGAGCACTACACTCAGCACAGCATCTGTTGTTAGAGTTGATGACTCACCGCAGCCTCGTGGACTGGCCAGTAGTATGGATGTTGCTGTGACCCCAGTTATCACGCTCCCTGCCTGGCACGGAGGTGGATAATTCATATATACACAAGCCCTTATGAACTGTGTGTGCCTCCAAGGTTTCTACTGCGTTCACAGTTTCTCTTTCTGTTCTTACATCCCCCCAAATCCCTCCCTCCCTTTTAGAGCAGATAAAATGCTATTCTTCTACCCTCCCACCTGCTTCATCCACATGCACACTTGCTCTCTGTCTCTCACTGAGCTACAATTTGGTCCAGAGAAGGAACTACCAATAAAAAGGAATCACACTCTACTGTGGTCTCATCTCTTCACCCTCATTTCATTTCATATATTGTATGGAGAATTTGCATTTCACACTAATGAGGATTTGTTAAAGCAGTTTAAGTGCAATTAGGGGCCTAAAGAAACCAATTACAAACTAAAACAATCACATAACTTTATCATCTTTCTTTGATTTTCTTTAGTAATTAGAGAAAACACATTCTTTAAAAAGAGCTTTATATCCTCCTCCTGTTGGAGATGTTTTTTGTTGAAAATTTTCTACAAGAAAGAACTTCACAGAAGTTTTTATGAAATACACTTTTGTTTATCCACTATTCCATCCACCATTACTTCCCTGCTGCATCCTCAGGCACAGAGACACAAACCACTTGCTGTGATTTGTTCAACTGCACAAGCAACCTCCTGCCAAGATTGGCTGAGTCTTTTCATTCATCCCATCCAGCATTTGGCCACATTAAGTAGCATGGCCCCAGCAAATAATACCTGCTGGCACATGAGCTTAATCAGAAATAAACCTTACTTACACAGAGGCTAAATACATTTCAAGGGTCCACTTAATGGCCGGCACAGTGATGCAGTGGTTAGCACTGTTGCTTCACAGCAAAAACGTTCTGGATTCGAACCACCCCTTTCTGCATGTTCTCCTTGTGGGTTTTCTCTGGGTACTGGGTCCACCTGAATCTACCTCTCCTGTTATATAATGTAAGATGTTGCACACTAATATAAGTGATGTTAACAATGGTCTTCCTACAGTTTATATAAAAGTTGAAATTGTGGCGCCATCCACTGTTCAATTATTGACAATGTGTCCATGCTTTGATATTTTATTTTTACAGAGATAGTGAGAGCAATGACACATGTCATCAACCAGGGGATGGCCATGTACTGGGGGACATCGCGGTGGTCTGCTATGGAGATTATGGTGAGTGGTGGATAAATTGTGCATTATGAAATAAAGACCAATTTTGCTCAAAAATGCTTCCTGTAACAAATAATTCTTTAGAGGCTGGACACTGTTTCTGAGCAACATTGATATTTTTTCTGTGGCTGTCCATATAATGATATTGTGGGAACTTTTTAATTCCAAGAAACACATTTAGAAACAAATTTGCTGTCTAAATTAAATAAAAAGTCAGACTGCACAGAATAATCTCAGAAAATAGGACAAGGCAGTTAATTAATGGCCACAGTTCCAGTTTATTACTGCACTATGCAGTCTAAAGTGATGAACGTCCCTTTGACACCTTGACATGTGAGTTCCTGAACAGGTATTAAAATACATGAACAATGACATACAGTCCAGCACAGTGGCAGATCATCCGTTTATCAAAAAAACAATTTTGCCCTCACTACTGAAGCTAAAGGGGGGCAGTGAAATTCAAAATGGACTGTTGTAATATTATATACCAGATGCAGCAAGAGATATGCATAGATAAAAGAAGAAAATATTAAAGGTTAGTGTTCACATATTTCTTCATTAATGTCTCAGCTTTTTTCTTTTTATTCCCTCTTCATATACAATTAGGAAGCATACTCTGTGGCCAGGCAGTTTAATCTAATTCCACCAGTGTGTGAGCAGGCAGAATATCATTTCTTCCAGAGAGAGAAGGTGGAAACTCAGCTGCCAGAGCTCTATCATAAGATAGGTATGTCTATAATAAGTTTCTCCTGCCTAGCTTTTCTTTAATCAGTTTAGAACTGTATTATATTTTGTATCCTGCTGCTCAGTGCTTGTTCTGTCTCAGGTGTGGGTGTGGTCTCTTGGTCTCCTTTGGCCTGTGGAATCATCACTGGAAAGTATGAGAATGGCATCCCAGAATCTTCCAGGGCCTCACTGAAGGTACAGGTTGAATTGAATTAGACAGTGAGTCTAGTGCTATATCTTCCAGCCTTTTCAGTCATATCTAGCTGGTACAACTAACTAACATTTGTTTCAAGTACACATCCATTTTTACTGTTCCTCTAGCCATACCAGTGGTTAAGGGAAAAAGTAATGAGTGAGGATGGGAGAAAACAACAAGCCAAGCTGAAGGAACTGACCCATATTGCAGAGAAACTTGGATGTACTTTGCCACAGCTTGCCATAGGTAAGGGCCCTAGTGACCCTCAATTTTCCATTCCTTTGAAAGTGGTCAAAGAAAATATGACCAAATTCAGTATTTTTCTACATGATGTCTGATACCTGCCACAGTAGAAACATTAATAATTTTATCTCTGATCTTTAGCCTGGTGCCTGAGAAATGAGGGTGTGAGTTCAGTGCTGTTGGGATCCTCCAATCCAAGTCAGCTAACAGAGAATCTTGGAGCCATTCAGGTATAAAAACTATTTCCCAAAGGTTTAGTAATACTAAATAATTATTTCATCATAGCATTGGTTGTAAGTGGTTTCATTGTTTTGTGCACCACAGGTCATTCCAAAGATGACAGCGGGCATTGCCTCAGAGGTTGATCATATACTGGGAAACCGTCCTCACAGTAAAAGGGACTATCACCATTAGTATGGAACTCCATTTAGTGAACTATGCTCCAAAAGCTTATTAAAGCTCACTTTTCAGCCATGGCACCACAAATGTGTGCCCAACTTTGCTTGTGTGTATGTACAACTTTGTGTAAAGTGTTCTGCTTGGCTCCTTGTCTTCATGAAGATCAAACAATACTGCAAAGTGTGGTGCTTCAGAAAGCATGCATGCTACAGCCATAGCCCGCCAGTGGAATCAGTCTGAACAACAGTTCAAGGATCCACAGTAAAATAATATAATTTCTATAGTGAAAGCCTCAAACAAACTGTGCAAAAGCTACACAAATTCAAAGCAAAAAAGGCATTATTATTACTAAATGCTGCACAAATTACATGTGAATATGTGTGCTGATGCAACAGGTAAAGAACATTTTAGCACTTATTGCTCCAGAAAGTGCAGTAAGTGCACATCAGAAAGATGAGCTATATCAAAGTGTACCCAATTGTCCATTAACTCTACCTTACTGGATGTTTATGGTGTGAAGAAAACAGTTAGTAATGATGTGTTTAATTGGTCCTGGTTTCAGCAGATTGAATGAAATGCTAACACTCCCCACTGCACTTGCAGCTGATGTGTCAGTGTGATGAATTGTTTCAGAACTGGATTAAGTGAAATTCTCACAATGTTGCTTATACTGTACCAAGAGAGCTAGGTTAAACAAAAATATGTTTTAATACATTTGTACTGTTAGAGTATATATTTTCCATATTAAGCAGCTATGATGGGATTAGTTTCTCATTTCTCTGTGTTTTATATGATTTTTTTTTTTTACTTATGCAAATACTATACAGCATAATGTACTTTCCTGCAGTGCCCCTTCATTCTCTTTTAAATGGACTCTGCCAGACTTTCTGTCAGTGATGTTAATGTCTGGTTCATTTCACAAATGAATCAGTGTGTGTCTTGTGGTGACTAAAGCATCCGTCTAGCTGAAGTTGAGGAGACAATCCTCCTAAGGGGGGCTTGTGGATTTAACACAGAAGACCATGTACTGTAGCTAACAAAGAGACTCAGTGGAAAAAATAAAACCATATGGGCCCCTGCAGTCACTGCACATGGAACATAGTGAATTGTTACCCAACTTCTTCCAGATGCCAGTTTAACATTATGATTATCTTTATGTTCTGCCTGTTCAGTGATGTATGTGGTGTCCACAGATTTGTACATACAAATAAATACTTTATAATTCTCGCGTGGTATGTTTTGTAAGATTTGAGTCTTATAGACCCTAGTTACTTTATCAGCTTTAGTTACTTCTCATACCTGTAGTTCATTTTAGTTACCTTTCATAACTTTATCTTACTTGTTTATACATATTACAGCTGTATTGATGATTGTCCAGAACTACTGAGCTTTGGTTATTTTAATGCATTTGTTTCCCTTGCTTATATATTTTACAGCTATAATGAAGCAGAATCTGCTTACTTTGAATTCTGTAACTTCTGTGTAGAGACAGGATGTCTGCATCTCTTTGTGATCAGACAGCCAATTCACATTTAAATACATTGTTCTAACATTTGCAATGCACTTTTTTTTCTTGCTGTAATGGAGTATTGTCATACTGCAGTACACACTCCTCTTGTGGTACCACAGGGTAATGTCATTGTTTACAGTACACTTATATTTGTCTCATTGTCTCTTTCTGGAGATGCTTCTCTCTCCAGTACCTACTTCTCACTGATGTAACTGTCATATTCATTTGTATTTGCTGAGAGATCTGAATCCTACATTTGAGAAGTAGTAGTAGACCTACAGTATAAACACCAACTAAACAAGAATAAAGTACACTACATATGAAATGTTCCTCTCATGTCTCCAGCTGCCACCCAGTGTCAGGGGAGTGTACATGTCAGCCTGGATGGTCAGGCCTCTACTGCAATGAGACGTGCACCCCAGGATTTTATGGTGATTCCTGCCAGCAAGTTTGCCAGTGCCAGAACGGTGCCGACTGCCTCAGTGTGACCGGAGAGTGTGTATGTGCTCCAGGCTTCATGGTAAACTGATTTCTAGCATACTGAATTATCAATGAATGTTTTAGGTCAAATATGAAGTGCCATACATCGGTTTGCCAGCTCTCAGAGGCAAAGAGTTGCAATCCCTCACACTAAGCAGATATAGTCAAGAAATGATGCATATGAACTCACATTTCAGTGATTTCATGATGGAAGAGTTTATCTAATCTTTCAAATGTAACCAAACCATTTACAGCTAAAATGCAGTTGGATCCTATTAAATGCAGTAAAATAAGTTAATAAAAGATGAAAGAGGAGTTATGGGTCTTTTAATGAACACACACTTACACACTCACTATATAACAATACACATATCACGCAAGCAGAAGATAATGAGAGACAAACAAAGGAGAGTAAGAGAAAGCAATTATATAAAGACTAACGGGCAGATATTATATGTATTATTTAGGAGTTTATTTCTTGCTTAATCAGCATTCTTTCTTTCTGTTTATATTCTGTGCATTATGTTCTTATGCAGTCAGAATCTGTGCTCAAGTGGTCACCCGGCGGTGGTTCAGGGGGTTCAGGGGGTAGAGCGGTCATCATCCCTAGAGTCCATAACCAAATCTCCAGCAGTGGATACTAATCCCATCCATTATGCCCATTCAAGACTTATTTGTCACAAAACACAAAGTAATGTGTATTTAAATGACAACTGGATCAAATCCAATCAAATTCAGCAGATGAACTGAACATGTCCCTTTAGTGTTGTTGGTGGTCTAGCTGTACAGCATACTTGAGGAATGTATAATCATACAGCCAGTTTCATTTCTGTCTATTTCCCAGGGTTCCAATTGTTCGGTCCCTTGCCCAGCAGGAACACATGGCACAAACTGCTTCTCCAGCTGTACTTGTAAGAACAGCGCTCAGTGCTCACCGGTGGATGGATCCTGCTCCTGTAGACCAGGTGAGCTGAGGAGGAGAGGGCGGAGGAGAGAGAGGTTGGGAGAGAGGAGGAGACGGAGAGGTTACAAAAACACCAGGGCTTAAAGTGTCTTTAGGTTATTTTCCAGTCTAATGTGAGCTGCTCACACCCTTAGTCATAATACCTTATTTCTGAACTTGAATCACTAATTTGGGGAAAAACTGTCTAAGTCTAAAGCCATGCAAACATATTCTGGTTTATAAAAACTTTGGTCTGCCACTAGTGAACATACATATGGATGATACTATAATTCAAAATCAAATAAATAACTATGATATGATATGATTGTTGAAATGAAATAATGTGAAAGGACATTTTATTCTGCACCTGCTCAGAATAACATTTGTTGAAGTCAGCATCATTCCCGCAGGTTTAGTTGTTTTTTTATACCACGGCACATTATAAAGGTCTGCAGTAATAGCCCTTGTTTTGTTATGTTATCTTTAAGGTATAGTGCCGTATAGTACCGTTCTGTGTAGGTCATGTTTTTTATTGTGTCGATTTTGTTCTCTCTTGCCCCTCTCTCAAGAGGCTGAGTGGAATTAATCCATAATGAAACAATTATTCTTTTCATGCAAAGCTTTTAGTAGTAGCTGCTTTTTACCAGCCCATTATAACTTCTTCCTTGATGACATTTACCATTTTTGCTGTTATCAAACTATTTGGAAACTGTTTTAGAGATATTCTTGTGTTACACTGGTTATTGGTTTAGGTGCTAGCTACTGTTAAAGCTAAGCTGTCACTTCAGTTCTTTTCCATGTTTTAATTTATGGTAACCTGCCACTTCTTTCAGTGCTTCAACTTCAGCAAGTACTTCCATACAAATTTGGGTTAGAGGCATCTCAGGTCATTTAAATCATTACCTCTTTACCTTTTTTCATTTCAAGAGTGTCCTCCTGGTTCATATGGATATGGCTGCCGCCAGGTTTGTGACTGTCTGAATAACTCCACATGTGATCACATGAGTGGTAGATGTTACTGTAGCCCAGGCTGGAAAGGAGTTCGCTGTGACCAAGGTGAGGACACACATGAATAAAAATCTTTTAAACAATTTCTCCAAAAAAAAAATAAGATGTTCAACTCTCAGATCTGTTTTGAGAGTGGTTACGGTAATCAACTTATCTAGGATGTCTAATCGTTGGCATTATCTCCATTCTAAGAAGTACTTTGTCATGTTCTTTTTTGTTTGTAACTAAGGCTTCTAACTCTACTACTTCCTCCTCTCCTGTCTGCTGCTGCTGGTGTCATGGATAGCCTTTACAATTTAACCAGTGCAACCACGCAACGGGGTTGCTGCACCCTTTTAAAAAATCAAATCTAAGACTTTTTAAGACATAACTAATGAAAAAATAGACATCTCCACAGCAGAACAAATGCACATTAGTACAAGTGTAGCATGCATAACTATGTTTCTGTCAAATAAAATAGTCAAATATCAAACACAGATATGAACATGTGGCCCATGTATCCATAATACATGGGTTGTAAGCTTATTCACATGACAATAGTGTGACCATACAGTCTATGGGTGTGACAGCAGAATGATTTATAATGGAGAGGACAGCATGGTTTTGGTAACTTGCAGGTCAACAGACAAGTGCAATCACAAACACATTTTGCTGAGCACATACGTTCCATTCAGATACCAATTTATTGCCAAATTTCCTTGATTTACATCCCCCCCATCATGCTTCTTCTTCTCTTTTCTGTTCATGGAAAATGTGGGAGACAGCGAACATATGAGTCACATGAATGCAAGATGTAGCATGCAAATCCACAGTAATTAGTAGAATAAAAAATTATAATGCTAACTACATACAGCAATATAGACAAATTTGATAAAGTATTCAGACATGTCTCAGTCTAAGCATCACCTCAAAAATTAAGACTTTTAAAAACATTTTATGACCCCAAATTATTTAAATAAAATGTAATACTTTTTAAGACTTTTTAAGGATCCACGGGAACCCTGTGCAAGTGAACACCTACCAGATTGGAGCCATCGCAGGAATCATCGTCCTGGTGCTGATGCTGCTCTTCATTGTCTACAGGAAGAAGCAGAAGGGCAAAGAGTCCACCATGCCAACTGTGACCTACACACCTGCTATGAGGGTCCCTGCTGATTATGGCATTGCAGGTACATTGCAGGTCGGCCTGATTCAAACTGCAGCCAGCTCAGTGACATGCATGGGTTAAACTGGGCTGGTGCTAGCTAAAGTTTACGTCTGGGTTCAGTACCTCAGCTTGAGCAATTCTTACCCCTTTGTTTTGAACACAGTGATTTTCAAACACAGTCGCAGGCTTACAAATGTAATCAAATGTGATCACTGCAACCCCCACTCTCTATCAGATTGAATGAAACAGTGTACACTAACTATGGTGACACCATAATAGTTTCATACCCATAACATTCATCCTAATAGTCCATAATGAAACAAGGTGGGCTTTCCCACTATTGCTCCTATCACAAAGTAAATGAAAGACTATAATAGCAATTAGTGTGGGGAATTAAAGCACAAGACAGGTGTATCATGCATGATACACATACTGTATATAGTATACAGCACTGAAAGTAAA